TAACCTCAACACAATGGTTTCGGTTTAACCAACAAAATTAATCCCTCTTAAGTTTATTAACCACGACCGTGCATTAATAAACCGAAGTTACTTACTTGTGAAACTATCAACGATTAACTATCAGTTCGTTGATCGTTTCTAGTAATAATTAATATATGAAACAAAACTAGTTGATCCTTTAAGTAATGTTCAAAATATTAATATGAAATATGAATAGGAATTAACTAATACTCAAGGAAGAATATTAAAGAAAATGAATCCTACTATAGTTAATATCAAGATGTTAACTAATTGTCATCTTAGTAACACTCCCCAATATTAACATAGAGGAAGGAATAGCTATTACTAAGACCAATGTCAAGATGTTAACTAATTGTCATCTTAGCAACACTCCCCAACATTGATATAGAAATAGTATTTAAAGGAAGAATTAATATTCAAGGAAAGAAGTTAAGAAAATAACTCACAACTTTAATAATCAACAAGCTTCAAGAGCAATACCAAGAAATGGAAGTTTAGCTCCTCATTTGGAGACTAAACATGCTAAAAGAAATATAGAGAAATGCTATTCTAAACTGAGCTTAAGAGTATAAAGGAATTGGTATCTCAAAGTGGAAGGAAAGGAGGTGTATTTATAGGCTTTTTTGAGGTGCAGGTCGGGTACTCGATCGAGTATATACATATACTCGATCGAGTATGTGTAGAAACTCGAATTCGATCCATACTCGATCGATATTCGAGTAGAATTTATAGCTATACCCGATCGAGTATGTCGGTGTACCCGATCGGGTATAGACACTCGATCGTGGTAAAATCTTCCCTGCATGTTCCTTTGTTTTCGGATCCGATCCGATTTGAAATTTCAACAAGATACCCGATCGAGTATAGGTAATACTCGACCGAGTATAGACCAAAATCAGGATCTTCCCTTTTTGTCTTGTGATTTTGCACCTTCCTTCCACTTTTGGGGTTCACCAACTGTCCTTTGAGTGATAGTAGACCTGCTTGAGCTCAGAATAGACCTAATCTAAGTAATTTACAAGAATTTAACAAACTAAACTATTACACCAAAAGTGTGTAATTTCCGAAATATTAAACAACCAAAACTAACTAAAAACGTAAACAAACACACAGAAATTACAAGCGTATCGGTAAATCTTGATTCCCTTCTATTCAACTTGGCTCTTCCACTTGTTTCTTCCTACACTCCTGTATTTATAGACTTGTTGTTGAATCTAGCTCCACGTTGGCTGAGGATCTCAATCTTGACCCTTACTTGATCTACTTGATTGTTCCACTTGACTGAGGTAGCATGGTTTGGTATTCGTCTTCTTGTGACACGGATCAAATCTTTACACACACCTTGATTCCTCATCTCAAGGCAAAGATAAAGATGGACTTATCTTTTATTTCTTTTGCCTGTTGAGACTTAGAATTTAAGGTGAGTGTTTGTTCAATGCTCCCTTACAAATAACAATTACTTGCTTTTAGTAAAATAATTTTATAAGAAATTTTATAATGTGATAAAAATTTCTCATAAAAATATTTTCTATCAAATTGTTATTTTGAGTGCAAGTTGGTCCTATGTTTAATTGAATTGTGCTAAGAGAAGAAGATTAGTCGGATTTCGATTTTGCCTTTTTTGGGAATTCAGAATAGGAGCTGGCTGAAACTTTTAAGGTGGCTGCTCCTACCTGTTTCCATATGGCTGCCGAATCTATGATAGGGCTTCAGTTGACTCTTTTCGTATCTTTTCTTTTTTGTTGTTTTCTTTTTGTTTTTGGTACGTTCTTCTCTTTTAGACTTTTAGTGGTCTTTGCTTTTTATGAGTACTTAATCACTAATGATAGCACATTACAATAAACATAAGTAGAACAAGTACAAGAGATACTAGTCTAATACAGGGATACAAAAGGGGTGACATCATCAAAACAATAAACATATAAATCATCAAAATCTAGGGTACCTAACGTCTATTACCAAGATTGTTACCATCAAATATGGTTGGTAGTCGGTGGACTCAATTTGAATCTTTTTTTTTTGTTTCCAATGGACTTTTGGCCATACTTGATGGCTCCCTTTAGGCTCCCCCGCTTTATACCTATGATTTGTATCAGGCTCAGAGTATAAATATTGAATATTATGATTGGTTAAAATTAGATCAAACTGTTCGTTCCTGGTTGTTTGCTACACTTTCTAGGGATATTTTGATTGAGGTGCATCAATTGAAAAATTCCACAGCCATCTGGCAACGATTGGAGTCCCGTTTTATGCCAGCCAGCTTGGCTAGGTCCATGGAATTAAAACAAATGTTATCCCATACCAAGAAGAAGGCAAATCAGTCTATGGACCAATATTTGCGTGAAATTCGAGTCATTGTTGAATCCTTGGCTTCGATTAATTCCATGGTCTCCAATAATGATCTCATGCAACATGCTCTTTTGGGATTAGGTCCGGGTTATGAGTCTCTTGTGGGTCCTCTTACATTATTTCCGAAAGGTCTCACGTTTGATTCCTTATGCACCAAACTTGTCCATCAAGAGGCTCGACTTCACTTTCAGCAACGCTTGGATACGGTTGTGAGAGCTCCAGCCTTTGTTGCTACATCTTTGACAGGGGGAGCGTCAGCTACTTCTTCGCCCGGTGCTCAGCAGCCACACCATGGCGGTCGAGGTGGCCGTGGACGCGGTCAGCGAGGATGCGGGGGTCGGGTCGTTTTGTTATCAGCAGTACCAGCCTCAGCAGTATGTTGGCCATCAACCGAGCTTTGGCCAGGTAAAGCCGCATTAGTTGGGGTTCGTCCAGGGACAGCATTAGCCACCGGCTGCATACAGACAGGGCCCTCCTTCACCACATCAGTCGGGTACTACGGGTACAACTTTATGTAGTTCAGTTGAGCCATTGTTTTATACTTCTGCTCTATCTACTTTTTGTACTAACTATGCTTCTGTAGGATTCCCATCATTTTACTTTCATGATTCTCGTTTTACTTTCATGATTCTCGCTTAAGTTAGTTGAGTGTTCTATCGTAGCTTTCCTAAAAGCCTACGAGCGTCCAATTTTAGACCAACAACTTTAACGCTTTCAATGCTTCATGCTATAAAGCTATTAATTAATGTACAAAGTATTTCAATTTTAATTATACAATAATTAAATTACTTCCAGATTTGTCCATTCCAAATTTGGGAAGACATTGATTGCTATCAAATCCAAATCAATTCTTTCCACTAGATGTATATTAGATTCTTAGAACGAGAAACAATCTATGTTATAAATAGGACGAGATAGTGTAAAAAATATTCACACAAAACTATTGTGGGAGATTAATCTAGTCATGGCATCCAAAATCTCATTGTCTATTCTAGTTGTTTTCATGATGCTCCAATTTTGTAAGTCAATTCATCTGATACAAAAAGACATGCACGTAACAATATATTTGTGTGTGAGATTTTCCGGACCTGTTTATAGCATTTTATTCCGCATGTTTTTCGCCACGTTCATATCGTCCATTTAAAGCGTGCTCACATTAAAATTTAAAGACGGCCTTTATATATTTTGGTCTTTTCATCTCACAAGATTTATAAAACTTTAAGCCCCACCACTTTTCTCCTTATGTTACATGAATGTATGTATGTTAGAATGATGGTGACTAAGTCGAGGACAAAGTATTTTATCTTAAATTGTTTAGTGTAAACCTTTTTCGCTTTTCTTATTTAACCCACTGCACCATTGTTCTAAGCGTGTTATCATATTTTTAGCCTAGTCCAACCTAAAATCTTATATCATTGATACATGTCACATACTTTAAGGTCCAAATCTCCAGCTTTCTGCGGTATTGAATTTTGTGAAGCTTAATTATTCATGCATTCACATGTACCTAATGTAGTCTCTTTTAACAAAACAATGAATCAGTAAATGATATAAATGCAACAGATACGTGTTTGTCATGTACTACGGATATCACTATATCAAAAGTTAGAAATGTAACTTTTGAGGAACGTAAGTAGTGATTACATAAGACCAATAGAGCCACAATATTTGTTTTAAGATTGACATCATATTCTTTGTATTTTAATGTATATTAATAAGAATTAAATATGCTGAAATATAGTGTGTTATCGATATTGTAATGATTGATGAATATAAGGATCAAATGAGACTACAAAGAATGGTATGATTACCTAACATGTTCAAAATTAATGTTCCACCAATACATTACTCGAAAATATTCGTAATAGTTGACGAGTAGAAGAGTATAAAATGAGCTCGTCTAAAAAACACACTTCATTAGTATTTCTCATCTTCTCATAAAAATGATAACATAGAGTTTTCATATTAAATGTCCTTGTGTGTGAATGCAGGTGCATTACCAATCTCTGAAGCAAGGAACGTGGCCTACAAGTGCCAGAATAACACTGAATGCAATCCAGTAGTTTGCACATGTGATCCGTGGATTAAACGTTGTATTTGTCCACCATTAGTTGAGAAGATTGACCTCGTCATGACAAACAATGGACGAGAATGACATATTAAAAATTGAAAGTTGCAAGTGTATTGACTTAAGAATAAAAGGATTCAATATACATGCTTTCTATTTATTCATTCTTGAGTTGTAAGAAAATCTTAATAACCTCTTAAGAATACTACGTAGTATATTAAACAAATGAGAAGAGGGGATATATTGAATATGTACGTAAAAACAATCATTTCAATCATTTTTGGCAATAGAGAAAAAAAGATACACTTTTAAAGCCTCAGGTGTAATTAGTTTGTTTAAGAAAAGGAAACAGGGAACCAACATGACTAAAACAGGGAATCACACCAATGCATATCCTGTAAACTTAAGAGAAAAATGAAAATGATATGAGTTGGAATGAAAACAAAAGTGAAAAGATTTGGACATAAAAGTTGTGGATAAGTTTTTGAAAGACCAAAATCAATTCCATCTCTACAAAATAAAAACAAAATCAAAATGTATACAACAATTATAAGAAATTGATTTCAGCCCTTTAAAATCGATTGACCCATACTTTAAAATCCAAATCAATAGGGTCAACTTCTAGGGGAGCAGCCTTTTGGTTCAAAGTGATTTTCAAAAATACATAAGAAAAAACAAATTTAAACATCTAATCTTAGCATTCATAAGGCCAAAATTAGATAACTAATCTATATATTCATAAGCCAAATGTTTGCAGGGTGAAAATTGAATAGTGGAAGAATAAAAAGATGGAAATAATAGACTAGGGTTAATTCTGTATTTTTACGTTAAACTCTTTTATTATAAATAGATTTGTGAGGGCTCCTTTGTGAGCAACTTGTTCAATTATTTCATATGGTATCAAGAGTTCGGTTGAAACCCTTATTTTTTTCGTTCCTTCTCCTTCCGTGCAATGAGGTATTGGTTATTGGTATGCTCCTTACTCTGATCTAGAATATCTTCAATTGCCTAAACGTTGAGATGAATCTTGAAACATCTTACACCTGAAATTCTATGTTTTTTAATGTCTATAATGTGTTTGTAAGAATGTCTCAACGAGATTAGGATTTGGGCCATACTCTTGAGTCAATTAGATTCTCATTGAAGGTTCTATCTATGATTCTGTGTTTATATGTGGTTTAATTTTTTCAAATTTGAGTTGGAGAACGAAAAGTTTGTGTTAAAACTTGGTCATGTAATGGTGGTCTCCTATTTCTAAAGAACTCATCTAAAATATTAAAGTATACTTCTATACAATACAAAATTATAAAGATGAATAAAAGTAAGGTTATTTTAGGTATAAAACTTCGTTAGTGTAACTTAATAGCCATATGAAGGTGCATATATGTAGTATGTGATTAAAACATTGCACACTAGATTACGCATTGGGGTCAATTGGGGTGATGCTCACAAGTCGCAACTCACAACCACTTCACCCAGCTGAAAGGGAGCAGCCGCACCAGAGTTCTGCACCAGACTCCTTTCCCTTCATCTTCTACACCCGTGTAAGTTACTATTCTTTTTGCTTTCTTTTAATGATGACTGGCACAAGACCATAGAACAACAAAGATTTCACACATTGTTATCCGCCATTCTCCAATTGCATTCCCGCAATTGCACAACGTTAACGGTGTGTACGTGGCATGAGAGATAGCCAATCAAAAAATAATAAATAAAACATCTATCTCCTTATTTAAAGGATCTTATATCATTTTGGTAAGTTTTTCTTCACAATGTCAAGCACAATGTCTAGATGTAGACATTGTAATTGATATTGCAGAGAAAAACTTACCAAAAACACATAAGACTGTGGAAAGACGGAGAGAGAAATGTCATCAAAACAATCTCTTATGTCTATCTCTCTCATGCCACATGTGCACTGTGCACATTGTAGCATTGAAGATGCTCTAAACTATCCCTGTAGAAGTCTTTAAATGTTACTCATATTATAGAATCCCTTTGACCCCATTCCCATTATGCCCGCTTGTTGCAAGCTGGAAATGGTGAGATTGGAGTGGTTGCTCAAGAAATGGTATATTTGGGTCTTATGCGATTCAAAATCCAACATTTTTTGATCATCAAATCCAACAAATCCATTAAGTCAAAATAACGTTCGTCACGTGGATGATTAAAAAACATATTGTATTAAACAAATGGTAAGAGGGGATATATTGAGTAAGTAAAACACAAACATTTTAATTTGCATAGGTTCTTAATCATTTCCTTTTTATGTATTTATGACATTTATTCTATCCCATTTTAATCGTTCCAGATTGAGTTATATATATTTCGGTTGTCTCTTCTGCGTCCTTCTCTATTTGTCTACCCAAGAAATCTTTATGTTTCAAATTCAGAGTAGTATATGGCTCTACTCCCTCGTATATGCCACTTAGCTTACCATCGATTTTCATCTTCTATAATTTATACTTCATGCACATGACCCAATGGCATTCCCGCAACTTCAATTTGAACATTAGCTCTCAATAAGTGTTTGAGTTTTAATATGAATTTCATCATCATCATCATCATCATCATCATGTCTTAATCGTGCCTTGAAAATCTGAATTCCTCATTTGTGTCTCCTCGCATGGCATTCTTGTTCGTACTCGGCATCTTCTCTCATGACACGTATACACCGTTAACGTTTTAGCATTGATGACATTTCTCTCTCCGTCTTTCCACGGTCTTATGTGTTTTTGGTAAGTTTTTCTCTGCAATATCAATTACAATGTCTACATCTAGACATTGTGCTTGACATTGTGAAGAAAAACTTACCAAAATGATATAAGATCCTTTAAGTAAGGAGATAAATGTTTTATTTATTGTTTTTTGATTGGCTATCTCTCATGCCACGTACACACCGTTAACGTTTTAGCATTGAAGATGCCAATAATTTGTACTTCATGCACATGACCCAATTGCATTCCCGCAACTTCAATTTGAACATTAGCTCTCAATAAGTGTTTGAGTTTTACTATGAATTTCATCATCATCATCATCATCATCATGTCTTAATCGTGCCTTGAAAATCTGAATTCCTCATTTGTGTCTCCTCGCATGGCTTTCTTGTTCGTACTCGGCTCGACTCTCTGGTTCGATCTTCTATTAAGGGGTGTTTGGAACCGATTCTGCTTCTGCTTCTTTTTTAAAGTAGAAACAGAATCAGAATCAGTTTTCAGAAGCTGATCACCCTCAGCTTCTGAAAAAACTGATTCTAGGAGTAAATTAGAGCACCAGAATCACTTCTTCACTTTCACCCAAACACCCCAGTTTCTGCTTCTGCTCCTTGAGGGAGCAGAAACAGTTTTAAGAATCAGATCCAAACACCCCTAAAAGATATACGGAGTATGTTAATAGATAGACGCTTAGTTGGAAAGTTGATTTATTTCACTCTCACATGTCCAAATATTACTTACTCCACTTGTTCATATTTTGTCCCAATTTATGCACCAACCCTGAGTGGCTCATTACGATGCGGCTATTTTTAGTTATCTCAAAGGATATCCTAGGCAATAGTGGGTTGGAGTGATTTGGATTTACAACCAGCTTGTTTTTGTGATTCGGATTTACAACTAGCTTGTTTAATTTTTGTGATTCGGATTGGTCGCTTGTCCTTTGATTCGAGGGGTGAGGAAGAAAAAGAGTTAGCAATAGTGGCTGAAGTTTCTAGATTTGAATATTACTATACCGACTATTAATTAGTTTTGTTCATAAATGAGAGAGAAATTTCCATCATTTGCAAGGGAGTCAAAAATTTATTAATTCTAGTTTGAGAATATGATAGAATAAAGCAAAATGACTCACCAAATTGTCTGCGCTTCTTTGTTATGAAGCAGCAGTCAGTCTATGCAATTTTGGACGCGATTTTCTCTATGTGTCATTCGGAAACAGTCTCTTTGTGCTTTAGTACAGAGGTAAGATTGTGTACATTCGACCCCCCTTACCCCACTGTAGGTAAATAAAAATGAAATGAAATACATGAGAGAGAAAATTTATTTAATAAGTTAGTGATCTAATCTCGTAAAATATACTCTAATTGAGAGAATTTAATTTTAGAGGAAAATGTTGTGCCAGTTTGTCGTTTGGGAAGAGAGTTTGTTACCGAATTACAATTTCAACATTTTCCCTTTACGAGCTAGTTTACGTGAGTAATATTATTATAGGCATGGAGATACTTGAATTCCAATGATTAATATTACTACTATTTTAATTATAGGCAAAACTGTCAAATAGGTCCTCGAACTTTCATAAAAAAGTCAATTAAGTCCTTCTATAGGAGACTCGGTCCGGTCGTCGCGATTTGGGGCGGTTCCCGGTAGAATTTTTTGATGAATTTTGTTGAGTATCTTATTCATCAATTCTAGTTTACTCATACCAAATTTCAGCTAAAAGTTTAATCGGGAGCGCATTCAAATTAATTCGAGAACGCAAAAATGCGCAATTATCTTCAAGAATTAATTTGAATGTGTTCTCGGTTGAATTTTTAGCTGAAATTCGGTATGAGTAAACTAGACTTGGTGAATAAGATGCTCAAAAAATTTCATCAAAAAAATCCACCGGCAACTGCCCCAAGTCGTGACGGCCGGAGAGAACCTCCTATAGAAGGACTTAATTGACTTTTTTATGAAAGTTCGAGGACCTATTTGATAATTTTCCCTTAATTATATTACATAATTGTAGATCCCACTTTAGGCACGGATGTTCAGCAAAAAGTATAATTATTACAACTTCAGTACAATAATTATTACATAAAATATAAATGTGTAACAAATGATTTGTTACTGAACTTAGGCTATTACTACCTCCTACCTCCGTCCCCCTAAGTTTGAGACAAGAGAAGGTGACACAGTTATTAATAAAAGTGAGTTTATGTGGTTGATATTGAATTGATAAAGAAAGAATAAAGTAGGAATGATTTGGAACCACACAAACTTTACCAAATAAGGTATGAGACAATCTTAGTGGGGCGGACCGAAAAGGTAAAATGAGACAATCATAGCGGGACGGAGGGAGTATTTGTTAATACTTCTATTTCTATTTATATACTACCTCCGTCCCAATTTAGTTAGTCAATCTTGACTTTTCCGGTCAAAGGTGGTAAACTTTGACCAATTATTTTAACTAATATATTTATGAAAAAATTAATAATTTATACTTTTATAATAGTATTTTGAACAAAGAACATTTTCATATAATTTTTATATTATTAATATTTTCTCTATATAGATATATAATCAGTCAAAGTTAGGTACCATTGACTTGAAAAATCAAGTTTGGCTAAGTAAATTGGGACGGAGGGAGTATAAGAAAAGATATAGCTCATTAAGGCCTTGTTTGGTTCAAAGGAGGGGAGGGAAGGATTAAGGAGGGAAGGAAAGGGAAGGAGAATGAAAGATTTTGATAAAAATTTGTGTTTGGTTGGAAGAAATAGGATGAAAGTTTAATGAAAATATTTTCCCAGTTTACTTTTATTTTGATAGCTTACATAAAAAAATAGATACATCTCTAACTATTGTAAACAGTACTCCTAAGGTCATGAGTCGTATTTTTTTTTTTTTGATTTTTTAGTTTTCTCATTTTTTTCATTTTTTATTTTATACTCCGTAATTTTTATTTGTTAACTTTTTTTTTATTATAGAATTTTCCATTTTTGAATCTTTGAATTTTTAATTTTTTAATTTTTTAATTTTTTAATTTTTTAATTTTTTGATTTTTTATTTTTTTATTTTTTTATTTTATAATTATTTAATTTTTTAATTTTTTAATTTTTTAATTTTTTAGTTTTTTATTTTTTTTAACTTTTTCATTTTTTAACTTTTTCATTTTTTAATCTTTTATTTTTAAAATTTTAAAAATATTATGTTTTTTTTACCTTTTTATATTATAATGCTTTGTCCATTCACGTAGGAGATGGATAGTGTGTGATTATCAACACGTTTTCTCCGAAATACCCCGATTTGGGTGTTTAGAATGGGAGAAAGTGAATGATTTTGTAAGCCTTCTACTTTCCTCCCTTTCCCCCCAATTTCCTTCAAACAAACACACATAAATCACTCATTTCCCTCCCGTCCCCTCCAAAACCCTCCAACCAAACCGGGCCTAAAAGACTAAAAAATCATACATGTCTAAGGGTTAGTTTGCAACTACTTTTAAAAAAACACTTATAAGCTTTTAGCTTTAAAAAAGCAATTATTTTCCCAAACACTACAACTTTTATTTTTCTCGGCTTCCGCGTCAAAAGTGCTTTTACTTTTTCTATTACACAAAAATCACTTATTTTACCAAACACTACCCACTTTTACTTTTCAAAATCACTTTTTTCTCAAACACTATCAACTTTTATTTAACCACTTCTCTCCGTTTCATTAAAAAAACACTTTTTTAAAAGCAGAAGATGTTGCAAACAGACCCTAACTATTAGGGGTGTGCACGGGTCGGGTTCGGGCGGGTCGGGTTTGCGAACCCTAAACCCGTTCGGGTTTTTTTAATTTAAATACTAGGCCCG